TACTTACATTACTCTCCTGTCTATATATTTACCTTACTCTCCTATGTTGTATATTTACATTACTCTCCTGTCTATATATTTAACTTATTCTCCTATCTATATATTTACCTAACTCACCTTTACAGTATACTTACATTACTCTCCTGTCTATATATTTACCTTACTCTCCTATGTTGTATATTTACATTACTCTCCTGTCTATATATTTACCTAACTCTCCTATCTATATATTTAACTTCTTTCTCCCCTCTATACACTTACTTTCTCTCCTACACTGTATTTACCTTACTCTCCTATCTATATATTTACCTAACTCTCCTTTACAGAATACTTACATTACTGTCCTGTCTATATATTTACCTTACTCTCCTGTGTTGTATATTTATATTACTCTCCTGTCTATATATTTACCTTACTCTCCTATCTATATATTTACCTTACTCTCCTATTTATATATTTACCTTACTCTCCTATGTTGTATATTTATATTACTCTCCTGTCTATATATTTACCTTACTCTCCTGTTTATATATTTACCTTACTCTCCTATGTTGTATACTTACATTACTCTCCTGTCTATATATTTACCTAACTCTCCTTTACAGTATACTTACATTACTCTCCTGTCTATATATTTACCTTACTCTCCTGTCTATATATTTACTTTACTCTCCCGTACTGTTCATTTACATCACTCTTCAATACTTAATATTTTATATCTAGAAATGTTAATTGCAGGTTTGAACATACTAAATTTTGTATTTAAAGTGGATCGTGTTCTTCTGAGAATGTTTACAGATATTATTGCTTTGTGAAAAAATAAGTTATGCAATATGAATTATTTCTGTATTCTCAAACAAGTGATTATAATAACTACCACTGAGCTACTGTCTGCAGTGCTAACTTTGCTATCTAAAGAACTAAACTTTTCCATCAGTAGTAATGTGGTGTTGAAATAGGCTTCGAAACTGTGTATGATTTAAATACAAAAGGACCAGGAAAATATCAACAACACAAATATAAATGATGTGGATTTAACTGATACATATGCTACTGGACTTAAGTGTCCCTTCAAAGACTTTAACAAACAACCACCACTGACTGACTCACACACACTGAACAGCAATTAACTCGTACAGGGCATAATGGAAATCTACTCATCTCGGCTTGGGAATTCTATATAATCCAATCTCAATAGAGAATGGAAAAATGATTTAGATGAACTTAAAATTAACACTCTCCTTATAACCAAAATAACAGATGAAGGGAAGGGATTTGCTATTTTAGAAAAAGATTACGTTCATAAAGCCAGTAATTTGCTTTTCGATGCTTCATACTATGAACCGTGTAATAATGACCCAACTAAAAAAAGTAGAGATACCTGCAAAAAATATATTAAACTCTGACTTTAAAAATGTAACAGATGATAAATTATTTTTAACCTTAACACCTAGACATTCACAATATCCTGAATGGTATGATTTACCTCAAGATCATAATGAGGATATACCTTTAAGGCTCATTGTTTCTAACCCTAACAGCCCTTGTGAACGAATGTCATGACTGATTGAAAATATTTTAACACAGTTGTTACAGTTCATCCCTGAACATATAAATAATTCTACTTTATTCCTTGATAAACTCTACAACAAGTTCCCTGACACTCTTCCTTATAGGAGTATTTTGTTTACTTTAGATGTTAGATTACTCTACAGCAAAATACCAGTAGAGAAAAGAATTAAAATTTACGTAATCTGAAAAAACAACCTTTAGTTTCAGTTTAACTTACTTAGAAAACTTGTTTAGATTCATCCTCGTAAATAAGTATTTTAGGTTTGGAATCAACTACTACCTGTAGGAAATTGTTTTCCTCCACCACTTGCAGTCATCTTCATGCACATCCTAGAATTAAAGGCCCCTATAATGCCCCTCTACAAATACATCTTTGTCTTTGTTACATTGATCATGTTTTTGGTGTCTGGACTCATTCTTCTGTAGAATTAAGTAATTTGTAAAACCGTGTGAATCAACAAAACTCTCCACATTCAGTTTACCCTCGAACAATCAATACATCTCAATATAATGATTAAAGGCAAAAATGACAAGCCAGTTTACCACCTCACCTGTATGTAAAAGGGGACACACAGTGGAACCTACACACCCTCCTGTAGTAAAACAATTATTGCTGTGTAACAAAATTTGAGGGTTGTATGCCTCAACTCTGATCCTTCAAATTTTTAAAGTTCTGACAAAACAACTATTGGGTAACCGTTAACCCAGCACAACTTTAGTGAAAGCAAAGAAAACTGAACACAATCATACTGGACCACAAATATTTGACTGTAGATCTCCATGTAATCAACATGTTTGAATAATATCAATGTATAAATAAGCATGCTTATTGGCCTTTCTTGATAATGTATGTATGTATGGGCTGGGATTACAAACATTGATTAATTATCTGAGTGTAATTACATACCTTTATTTTCACGAACGCACACACTTGTTGTTCGTGTAAAATTTTATTTTGAAATAATAGTCTATAGCTCATTTTCTTCTATTACATTTACAAAATGTTTCCTTTAATATAATTTGTTTATTTTTGTTACATAACTTGCATTTGTTGAAATGTACAATCATTTGTTCCATTGTTTGTCGTTATCTTCATTTGTGTCTGGTGTAGGCCTAAGGCTAAAACTTGACACCAATTAAAAGCATTTGTGAGACATAGCTTATTTTCACAATGTAATAATACTAAATTCAGTTGGGTTTGTGTGCTAAAATCAACCTGAGGCATCACTTTCTGTAGTAGGGTCTGATCATGGAAGCTGCCTACTGTTTCATGAATGAGTTGTATTATATTATTCTTTACAGTGCGTTTAGGGGACTGCTTTATGACAGTCGTTTGAAGCAGAGATACTTCCAAGTCGTTGTTATAGCATGCATCCATTTATGTTTTTAGCATTAACCTGCTAGTTTGAATCCTGATGTATTAATAATGAAGAAACTTCACTGACAAGTAGTTGACTAATTAACAGAAAATAATAAGCTTTGATGTTTTTTCTAGTCATGTGTTTACTTCTCCAATTGAACAAAAGTATGGTAAAAAAACATGCAAATTTCAGACGTTATCATTTTAATATCTATTTATACTGTATTAGTGCTTATAATTTGTTTGTTCTTTAACTTTAACCCAATTATTTAATTGATAAATCTTATATTCTGTAGGAGTTCTCTGAAAAATCGAATCGTTTGGTTGAAGAAATGAAAAAAACGTGCTTGAATGTGGGTAGTGTTAGATTAAAGGACATATCACTATGGTTAAGTGATTTTCATCCTTTCAAATACCAAGATGAACTTGAAATTCCAGGTACAGAACATGAATTTAGAAGTATTTGTAGAATTGCTCATATAAATGTATAGTATAAACAAAAAAAAATACATATATATACACGTATGACCACAAAGTAATGGGATTTTGATGCACTGTGAATATTAGTTTTTTCTTGGTATTGGAGATGATTGAACCATTGAAGAAAGTGTTTCGTGTCCACAGAGTGCGTAAACGCAGGTGAAGGACACTTTGAACATGACTATTTTGTGACAAATCTTTGTAGCAATAACTTTAAACAGTTGTAGCAGGAAATTATTCTCTTGTAACAATAACTTTAAACAGTTGTGGCAGAAAATTATTCTCTTGTAACAATAACTTTAAACAGTTGTGGCAGGAAATTATTCTCCTGTAACAATAACTTTAAACATTTGTGACAGGAAATTATTCTCTTGTAGCAATAACTTTAAACAGTTGTGACAGGAAATTATTCTCTTGTAGCAATAACTTTAAACAGTTGTGACAGGAAATTATTACTCTTGTAGCAATAACTTTAAACAGTTGTGACAGGAAATTATACTCTTGTAGCAATAACTTTAAACAGTTGTGACAGGAAATTACTCTCTTGTTTTCTCTCTCCGAACTGTCCTATTCCATTTTCATTTATGTTAATTGTTTACGGTGTGTTGTCTGAACAGATATTAACATCAGGAAATAGATGTTCCAGAATTTGATTTCTTTTGGGCCACCCTTTGTGTGTGAGTGTATATGTTCACTTGCATGTTCTTGTAATTGCTGCAACAAAAGAATTGCATATTTTGTAGCTGAACCAAAAGTAACATAATTTTTGGTCTGTATAGTTCTGTTATTGAATGTCACAGTGTCAGGAATTATAAAAAAAAATACAGTTTTGTGTGAACCGAATTTGGCGTACATGAAACATTGCATTTTAAATCTTAACTAAACTATTTTTTCTACAATATTAGTTATTTATTTTGTAATTTTTTTCTACAATATTAAAGTAGGAATTAATGTTTAAATCTATTAACGTAATAAATCACTTTAAAGTCACGTTTTCCCATGTTTTTTATTGGTTAAAACGTTTTTCAGTAGTTGTTAAATCTCTCTATATATAAAGATGAAATGTGTGTTTGTTTGCACCCTAACTTGTCGGAACCTATTGGGCCAATCTCAACCAAAATGTATATGTAAACACTATGAACTATGGGGAATGTCCTAAAGGGGTCAAAATTGAACTTAACCTTATTTCTATTTTGTAAAACATGTTGGTTAATTATTCCCACCCTATTGAGTCAATTTCAAACAATCTTGGCAGATTGATGCTTCAGACGATGTTGAATATTCTAAAAGTATTCAAGGTCAAAGTATGAAAGTTGCTGGATTGTTTCTCAAACAACCATGCTTTTCCGATGATCAGTGAGGTGTAGGTATTCAAGGGTGGGATCACCTCAAAATCGTTATTTGTTGGTAGGTGGAAAGCAAACTGCAAATGTTGTTTGTGAAGAAGCTTTGTTATAATTTTAAAATTTTGAGATAAAGTTTATGTTCAAGTTATTACTTTGAAATATATGATTGCTGTTAAACTTACATTGTTTTAATTAAGTTTAAACATTGGGTATTTCAGCTTGTAGCATATAAGTGTAAGATTTCTTAAGCTCATGCTGTATTCAAATAAAATGTGAGGTTGTATCTTACATCGTGAACAATATCTTTCTCATCTGTAAGTTAAGTTTCAATCATGTTTTAATTTTTTTATAGAAACAAAAACTACATAAAGTTGTTTTTTGCATATACTGTTTAGGCCAGTATACTGGGACAGCAAAGCCCATACCAGAGTATCATGTGAAAGTTTCTGGGTTTGACCAGGGTGTAAGTATATTTTTGTTTTTTATATTAATGTGAATTAATATTGTTTTTAGTGTTATGCATTTTATTTTATTTAGAAATAGAAATTTATATTCTTCCAACAAAGGAAATTAAAATTAAAAAAATAATTGTTCCTAACAGCCACATGCATCATTTTTAATAGAGCTTGTGAACTATTCTTTTACATACACCACCCACCTTGTTGTTTGTTTTCAAAATGACACTGGGCTCCACAAAAATATGATACTATAAAGTTCATATTAATATGTAACACCAAACGAGACTAAGAATTACAAAGTTAAAATCATTACAAAAAACATGTTAAAATTAAGGGCTAAAACAAGTTATCTATTTGTACATAGAAATATTTAAGCACTACAAACTGTCAGATTTGCTTTAACCCTCTGAACATGGGAAGGTCAAAGTTTTTACAGAGTTACATTCAAACGTTAGTTGTATACCACTAAGCTTGGCATGAAAACACAGTTAATAACTCAAGTTTTATTATATGTATAAGTTTTAATTTATTAATTTGAAAGGAAAATATTTAAATACTCAATCTTCACTTGTCTGTAACACATCAAACTTGTTTGCTCCGAATTGCCCATTTTCAATTTTGTCATCACACCTATATGATATCCTGAGTTTAACATAAATTACACGTTTATAGTATAGACATTACTAAGGGATATTCTCATTTCATAGTCTTCCATTTTCTTGATTTACAGAGATATATTCCAGAAAGTCAAACTCATTTTTATTGCCACCCTTTCACATCTTATCTTTCAGAAAATGTCAGTAATTCTCTCTCTGACATTTGCCCTTGGATTATTTATTAACAAACTGAAAGATAATTTTAATTTGCTGATTAATATAATGATAACTCATTCTGAGGACAGTGTTTGAATTATTCAACCTACAGACTCATTGTTACTATTGCCAAGTTCACGTCGACTAGGCAAGTGAATTTTTTTTAAGCCTACTTATTCCTTATTTAGAAAGTCAGTTAAGTTATAATTATGGGCACATTCTATGCTTTGTGCAGGTTGTTGTTTTATGTTGTTAATTGTATATTTGAAATAAATAAAAGTGATTTTATTTACTACCACCATCGTTACAAAAAAAAGTAGGATTAAGTTTTTTTGGGGGCGAGAAAAAAAAAAAGGCCAGATGCAAGTACTAAATTTCATGGTTTTTAAATATATATATATATATATATATTGTTATAAAACTAACTTGAATTAAAAAATTAGAAACTTAGAAGTTTAGATAAAAAAACTTAAACATTTCTCAACAAGATCTGCATGTGAGCTGTACATGCATTACATAATTAAATACTGTAACTTCAGCTATGCACGCAGTGTTTTTTTTACAGCTTGTTATTTGGGTTTAGTTGTTAGGCATAGCTCAAGAAGCAGTAATACAATAAAAAGAGATGTATATTGTTATGAGCCTGGAGCTGTTTGAGATAAATAATTGTAATTTTCTGTTCCAATCTGCAGTTATTACAGAAAGAAAAAAGGGAAATTTAGATTTATTTCATTTGTTTTGTGTGATGGTTACAGGATCAGTGAAATGGATCGAGTCTGTATAGTCTTAGGGTAGACAAAAATAAGAGATGAAATGTAAAGTTTTGCTGAAAAAACTTCATATCCATTAAGGAAGTTGCAAATGAAATATGAAAACTTTAAGATTAAAAGTTTTTTAATCTTAACGTGAAAATCACCTTGCATTCAGGCTAGACAAGAGTCTAAGTCATACTCTGATTATAAATTCACAAATAAAGCTTTAGTAAGAAATATTTTTTCAAAAAATCTCATTCATTTTGTACAAAAGTCTTGTTAACCTTACTAAAAACTTGCCAAATTTCATGAATGCATACTTAATATATTAAAAGTTATAACATCTATATTTTTTTGATTACATTGTTTTATTTAAAAAAAAATTACTTCTCTATTCATTTTACTTCACACTGAAAGAAACTGAGAGTTATAGTAATTTTTTTCTTAATTCTTACACTATGTTATTGTAGTTTGATTTTTACAAAAATGTTTTGTATATATATAGTTTGCCTTATGTTTTTAAGTGTCAAATACTTTTTTTTTTCCACCTCATCAGGTATAAATCTTAGTTGTATGATGACTGTCCATGTATTAGGTCAGACTTTCATTGACACAAACATCAATCATGGTGTGGATTTATTTCTTGATGATAACATATATCTGATAATACATTTTCAGCTTGAATGAAAGTACAACTTAAAAAACAACACCGTTATGCCTTTAGTACCATGACGTTTCACATGATGTGTTATATAAACAAATAATAACAGATTTGTATGATGTTCCTTGACAAGTGTGTTCTTGTACTTTCAACAGTATTATGCACATGCAAATTAAAGTTCTAAAGAAATTACCCAACAAATGAAACTTGCATTGTTATAATAGAATTGTAAACACAGTAGTTTGGAATTTCTTACCCTTTCTTGTGCCCTTATAGAATTTTAGACTATACAATATTTATTAACTTTCAGTATGTGGTTGTTTCTTCAGTTGTGTAATTTCAATCCTTGTTGTAAAATTTGTTTTAATGATTCAAACGTTTAACAGGTAAGAATTCTGAATTCCCTCACCCGACCACGAACTCTCACAATCCGGGGAAATGATGAAAAAGAGTATAAATTTCTAGTCAAAGCACAAGAAGATCTTCGCCAGGACAACAGAATAGAACATCTGTTCTCTGTGATGAATGGTATTTATGCAGGTGATCCTGCATGTTCATTTCGCCATCTCAGCCTAGCCACATATAAAGTCATTCCATTAACTACAAGGTAAATAAACATTAGACTTATATTCGTATAGACTTTTGATACATAGACTAATAATCTTTGCTATCTCATCAATTCTTATAGATTGTATGTAATCCTAGATAAATAAATATTATAAAATGAATTGAAAGCATAATTATGGTGAAATGATTCAGCTTTGTATACATTCTCCGTTTTTTTCACTTAATTTTGATAAATCATTTTTTGTTTGCCATATTATTGGATGATATTTTTTATATTTTAGTAAAGACTATGAAGTTATTTTTTATATTAAAGATATTCTTCAATTTATTAGTTTTGGTAATGTGTCTATTTATACATGTTCTCTACATTAAAATACTTTTCTTTTATTTGTGAGTTTTCGGCCCTCTTACCAGAGCCTTCATCGGGCATCATTAAGGCTTGTCTAAGAGGGCTGAAAGCTTATATAAAAATGAAAAGTATTTTAACATAGAGAACAGTCTACATATTAATTTACCTACATTATGAGTCTTAAAAACAGTTTTAGTATGAAGTAAACTGTTTTTATCTGAAGTAACTTTTCACACTTAAGATTAATATAAAGGAAAGAACATGAAATCATATTTTATTGCTCTCCAGACTTGGACTGATTGAGTGGGTTGACAATACAGTTGTGCTAAACCAGTTCTTGGGAGACATGTTCACAAAGAAAGACCAGGAAAGAATGTAAGAATTAGATATGTTGTGTGATCAATATCTTTAAAACTTTGTGATGAAAAAATATTTTGGAATTTATTTATAAAATTAAAGATTTATTACAAACATTGTAATTATATTAAACAAAATTTCCAGAGTTGGTGAACAGTGTCATTAAAAAGTGTGTTTGTGTATTGACACAAACAGAGGCAGATTAGAGTCTGTGGGTAATTGTGGATGAATGTATTGATATAGTAGAAAATGTTAAATCCCATTTTTAAAATTGAAACTTTTTACTTAATATTCCTGTCCCCTTCAGTAGCTCAGCAGCGAGTCTGAGGGCTTATAATGCTAAAAATTGGGTGTCAGTACTCACAGTGGGCACAGCACTGATAACCCATTGTTTAGCTTCGCAATAAACAAAAACATAATGGTCCCTACATGTTATAGTTTTTTTTCAGTATTAGAATGGATAACAATGAAGTTATTTTAAAGTGTTGTATGTAACTAAAGTCCTATAATTATAGTATCACAAAAATATTGTTTGACAGGATCTTGAATTGTCTATGTATGGTAACATAGTTTAACCATTATTAGTTTAACTTTATCCATTATACCCACTTGTAAAGTGTGATCACTTAATGTCTGTTTTCATTAATTTATTTTAGAAAAATTTTCATGGGTCTTCAGTTAATATATTGATTTTAAAATTCCACTGATTTTGAAGGCAAAAGTGATAAACTTATAATTTAATGACTCTGTGTAATACTACACCAGTTGTTTACATTTTTTGAAAGACTTCTGGCACAGTTTTTAACTAAAGATTTAATTTTGATAGGCCAAGGTAGTATAACTTCTCAATAGTAATTTATTTGTGGTGAAAAAAATAAATTTTCCTTTTTCACAGAAATTACTGTTCTACAAAAAAAGTGATAAGGCTAAAGATGGTTTTATGTAAACATATATATATAGTAATTGATACAGTTGTGCACATAGATTGACATATATGTTTGTAGAATTTCAGTAAAGAGTATGCTGAACAATTGTGTAAAAGTTTTGTGACTGTTCAGAAATTGTTTTGCTATACTTTTCAATATCTTGCATATACATGATTGCACCATTTGCAGTTTAGCCTAAAATCTGTGATAAAATAGTGCTTTTAATTTTCCAGCAATCAGGCAGAAAAAAAATTTCATAGTTACATGAAGTCATTGAGCAAATCGCCTCAAGAAGTAAGCAGGAATGCTTACAGAAAACTTGGAAGGAAAGAGACACTTAAAGCATTTCAAGAAGTGGTGGACCTCGTTCCAAGTGATATCATGAAGTAATTATTACTGCCATAATTGTCTTTTAAATGTAAAAGGAAATATTTTTCATTCAATATTTGGTATAATATGTACTTATAAACACTTTACCAATATTTTTGTGAAAGTAAGTCGATGAAAATAATGCTATGAAGATTATATAATTACATACATGTTTATATATACAAAGTCAACTTCCACTGTAGACAATTAATACCTACCAGAACTCTCCTAAATGTGCTTGCAGCGTTGCACTTAACAACAAACAAACTCTTCACAGATTCAACTCCAAATGCGATCCAACTACCCTGGCCACCAACATGGGATATGGGTACCATGATCCCTTAAATCCAGGCCCGAGGCGTGGAACCTCAGCTGTGTGGTTGGGGCTGGGCCATCATACTTGTGTAATATTCCACCCTTTTCACTTTTCAGTAGTTTTGGATGATGAGCATACCTGTTCTGGATATAGTGTGGTTTTCCCCACTTGGGTACCACTCCTCGTGGTACACCTTTGTTCTATGCAGACACTATGTATAAACTACACCCTCACCGGCCCCTCCACCTTCTCAATGTGAAATTTTAGCTTTAAATGGCAGTGTAGGTACGTATGTTTTGGAAGTTATCATTTTCCTAATCTGAAAATGTATTTCCAAACATACTTACCTATACTGACACTCTCCCTCCCTTCCTCCCCACTAAGAGTCGGTGTTAGTGACCGGGATGGGGTAAGTCTCGAAAAAGTGATTGTATTGTCTGCATACAATGCTTATATACAGTACCTGCATAGAGGGTGTGAGAGGGCCAGTGTAAAGTTTTGCAAATTAGATATTGCTAAGGGCAGTCGAGTGGCATATAAGAGACTGGAGTAAGCGAACACAATGTTTAGCTGGCAAAAACAATGGAAGATGGAGATTGAGAAATAGCTAGCTATAAGTGTCAGTGGAAATACATTTTTAGATTAGGAAAAATGATAACGTTGGTTGAGGTTCCTGCATAAAGTTTTTTTT